ATGCTGCCACAGAAGGAACTTTGCTTTATAATGTCAGTACTAAAAGTTTAGGATTTCAGTTTGTAATTCTGACTATTTTCATGTACAGGGGCAAAACCATAATTTCTGCAAATTATGCACCCTAGGATTAAGTTCATTAGCATTTAGATTATGCTATGAGCTTCTGGAAATTAAGCTTTTGGAGCCCAAGTTGGTTCCTTATTTACTAGTTAGTCTCCAATAATCGGTCCTAGTTCTAGGATGTATAAGAATCTAAAATCATGATAAATACCTATGTGCTCTAGATATTGCCGCCTTTTGATTAACAAATTATAAATTATTTGGTTTATTAAAAAACAGATGGTCCAGCAGCAGTGTGTACTACTCTCTCTTCTGCTGCAGTAGTCACAAGTAACTGTTCACAGCACAGAAAACTCTAATTTTAAACTAGTCTCTTCTCTTCTTAGCAACCTGAATCATATTCTCTTCTTATAGCTTTCAACCATAATGGTTATCCCATATTCACATTTGAATACACACCAGCCAAACCTGTGAAGTCACATATCAATACCCTAGTCCCATAATTTAGGAAAAAAGATTGAACATTACCTCTTCACCACTCTTTTTTTGCATAACAGCATTTCTCTTTAGTGTTTCTGCAGATATCATTCGCTCTGCGAAATAAGCAATGAGCTGAAACAAGGACAAAGAAAAAAAAAATATTAACTAAGGTTCATGTGGCATATGAATTAATTTTTACATGGATAATTGAGTCAAAAAATCAGAATCCACTAAATTGACACTTAAACCAAAAGGAAGAATACCGACAAAAACAATAGGAAGATTATCTTCCAATGCAAAAGGACAACATTAGCATTTTGAATTCACTCAACACATGTCAACATTTTGCATTTCATGATTGAATTTACCGTAGACCCTAATGGTAACTAAAATAAAAATGTTTTTAAAAAAAAAAGAAAAGAAAAAAGAATATCAAAAACACAAAACTTGAGCTAAATGGATTGGTCAGAAGCAAAAGTTCTTCAAAACAAGAGTCATAAAATCCTACTTTAACAATCTGAAAGATTTAAATATCAAAACAGATGTTTCAACTTCTAGGGTAAACAAGATGTTTCCAAATTGCAAAAAGTTACTTCATGAACATTAAAAACCCACTAAAGCTAAGTAGATATGAGATGGAAAGTCAGAGAAGAATTGGACAATGACAATGAAGATGATCGAAATTTCAGAACAAAAGTGCCTATGATGCCCAAGTGCAGACAATCATTTTAGAGGTATATTAAGCAAGAGATGTTACATCATAAAAGACATTTCTCACGCTCTCCACAAATTGAAAACTTCTCAAGATTTGAGCCTCGGAAAACCATTCAACCAGACAACAGAAACACTTATCATCTATTTCCTCATTCCAAGGATTTCCAGCTTGTCTGGAAAGGATGAATTTGACTACCAATTTAGTTCCTTTCAGCAGAAACCAAACTAGCCAACAAGAATAAAAAGTTAAGAAATACAATCCATACCAGACACTTTAATGGAAACATTGATCCACCACAAGGATTTCATAATGCAACAAGCTCCTCTTAAATAAATAACTCTTTCCTATCTCTTCTTGAAATGTCTTCAATTATCAGTTAGGATCTCCAAATGTTGCTAGAAGCGTAGTTGATATTGCAAGCAAAGTTGGTTAATGTATAATTTGTTGTAATTTGAAATGCTTTCTTCATGAAATGCTCAAAAGACATTCATGGATAGAAATGTAAAACAGATTAGAGTTATTTTAGGAACATCTAACTATTGGGATTTTTTTCTATTGATAAAGGAGTTATAAGAATAAAATCAACAACAGAAAAGCATTTGTTTATTCTGCACTAAAAAATAAACAGGCATACATGCTGAATGGAAAACCTACAAAGCCTACATCTTACATTTCAAAGCTGCATAGAAGATAAAGTACACAAGTTGTATGACATCTAAATTGAAATAAACTTCAGGAAACAAAATATAAGGAAAAGGAGAAATGCAGGAACCTGATTACAGAGTGGTTCTAATTGCAAACTCTCCACTGTAATTTCCCTTTTGACCTTAACTTTGTTAACTCGACTTAAATTTGCATAAGATGGCTTGCCGTCTGCAAAGGCCTAAAACAAAGGGCCACCAAGAGACTTATATCCAGTAACTTTCATATAGACATATAAAAATTGCTATATCAAACTCTGAGGATAAACATTACCTTTGTGATGCCTTTCCACCCACATTTAGCTCGAAAACACATCCACGAAGCAGAACGCCTTATAAATTCAGATGGACCCAAATCAACTGTGGTTAGTGACCCATCAACAATTAAAGAGAAATAGTTCAACAAGAAAGAAAGTAGATGCAGCCTACCCATCTTGGTTGATGAAAAGAGATAAGCTAATTTCCTCGGATTCACCACCGTTGCACTATCATACAAGAATATTAACTTAGAACAAGAATGCCGAAAAGAAAGAACGAAACAAACTTAGACATTTGAATGTTCTTCATGCAGGATTACATTTTGATTAGGCATATTACAAAGTTGGAGACGAGCTGTTGGATGTAAATTTGGAGAGAGAGAGAGAGAGAGAGAGAGGGGCATAATGAGTGGCCTATCTCTCAAGCACTTCTACTTTCATTAGCAACGACTTACAATAACCCAAGGTCCAAAAGAAAAACAAAAAAAAAACCCCTAAAATTCAGATGTGTGCATGATGGCAAAAGGAAAAAATTAAATAAAAATGACATCACTCTAAAGCAATTGATTTGAGCCTAGTCAGCAGAAAAGAAAGTTTGTGGAAATGCAAATCTTGTCCATAGTTTTTAATGTTTAGAGTAAGTTTTCTTTTTCTACTAATAGCTAACAAATATAGCTAGGACATACACTGTGTTGTCTGCATAACAGAATCAGCTGGAAATTGCAATTTAGTCAGCTAAAGCACTGGCATGAGAATTCCAAGCCTTCCATTGTCTGTTATCTCTGTCCTATATTATGGATTACAACTACCAAGTAATGACACTTGCTGGTAGCAAACTGCTTCTATTAGATTAAGAAAATTTAAGAAATCAAATTTCTGTGGAAAGGCAATAAAGCTAACAATATTGTTGCAAGAAAATGTTATGTTAAAGAAAATTACTGAGGGGCAAAGTAAGCGGTTTTCACGCCCAGGAACACATGCACTAATGTCGATGCCGAGCTGCTTTAATTTATGCTTCAAAATCTCCAAGATACGCATATTCAAGGGCTGGTCTTCCAAGTCCTTAGAATAAACTTACAGATAAACAAAAATGAATTCTGGTAAGCCTTCCAACATGTATATAGGCACCTATATAAGTTTCAGCATGCATAAACACATATATGCCTCTTCTCTTATTGGTTTTTCATTCAAATTGAACAACATGATAATCTAGCAACAAAAACTCCCACAGCCTTTCCCCTTTTTCAGAAAAAAAAAATACGGACAAGAATAATAGTTGCTCTTGGTCCTGGACTCTGTATTTCGTAGGAAGGGAAAGAGGAAGAAAATAAAGGTGAGTGAAAATTTTTTCCTCATTTGTTAAGATTAAAATGGGAAGAGAGAAAGCAGATGAGAGGACCTGCACCTTTCTGGTATATTGAAATTCAATCCTCTCATAACAAGAAAGAAAACATAAAGAAAGCATTCATTCAACTAAACTTAGCCAGTTTAGTAACTTTAGTTACAATTTAAATCTAAACTCTTTACTTTCCTCCCATTTTTCACCTCTTCTAAAACACATGAGGAGCCAAAAAAAAAAACATATTCCTTCAGTTCCCAGCTTTTCCCGTACCTCACTTTTCTCCCTTCCCTCTATTTTCCTTCCTACCTTCTTTCCTACTAAACAATGTCAATTAACATGTAGTAAGTCTATGCAAGCTTGTTCTTTTGTACTTGCCGGTGTTGCAGATAAAAATAAAATGTAGTAGTAGAATTCAAATAACAGCGCTAATCCTAAACCCTCTAAATAAAAAAGAGGAAAAAAAAAGCAGAGGTTGCCAGAGGAAAGCACATAAAATAATAGAATAAATAAGAAATACACCTGGAGCAGAGACATTGGCAGAAGGAATGGAAGAAAACCCATTAGTCCGAAGCGACAAAGAGTTTTTTTTGGAGACGGGTTTTGAAGAAAGATAAGGAACTAAGCGTTTGCAGGGTGTGGATAAGCGTTTAGGAGAAGGGGTCAAACGCAGCAGACTGAAAGAAGAGGAGATGGTTTTGGAGGCCATGAGACCAGCACTGTTGCAGGAAAACAAAGAGAGTTTGTGGAGACGGAGGCGTGGGTTATTACGGATATGGTAAGGAAAACGCAGCATGACTCTGTTTATCCTTTCTGCTTTGCTTCCTTCTCTTCCTCAGCATTCAACTGCCTCGGGTTCCATTCCCTTTTCTCTCTTTTGCAGCAAAAATAAGAGATGAGGAGAGGGTTTTATCACTACTTCGACTCCTTTCTCCTTACGAAAGATACCTAATGCCAATGCCAATGGGAGCAATGGGGACTCAGACTGTTTTGAGTTTCCAGAGGTAATGTGCAAAATTATAGAAACCACCCCCATAGTTTAAAGCCCAATAAGATTAGTCCTTAATCTTTATAATTTAAAAAGTTACACCTCCCAAACCACAAATTGTCCATTTCGATTCCTATACTTTACCATATATTATTGTATCAATCATAATTTTTTCTATTTAATTTATTTTTATATATCTTAATATCTGCTTATGAGAATATAGTTGCATTTAGTTAATAATGATAATTCTACTAATTAAATAAAATTAAAATTAAGTATATTAAAAATAATTATTTATAACTGCAGATTGCAGAATATATCCAAAGGCATTGCAAATTATCTACCAACATCATCTTCTGTCTTCCATTCAAAGAAAAATTCAAGTAATCATAAGAAAAATCTTCTTATAGCAACAAATTCATCTATTAGTAAAAGTGTAAAACTTTTCTCAATCTAAAAATTCCATCAACATTCAATCAATTAACTAAACAATTAAAATACACCATGATAATTGGCCTTTAAGCTATACACTGGCATGTCAAATTATTCCAAGTCAAGACATTCTCCAGTGGGGGCAATGGAAAAGAATGCCTACACAAGAACAACAAAAATCCCCACCACATGAAATATGTTCCTCATGTATGTTCTTCCTGACAAGGTTCCATATTTTACGGCTATTTTTTGCCACACCAAACTTTAAGGCTTTACCCTATGTAAAAAAATTAAAAAAAAAAAACTAAGTTTGAATCCCCCTTTAAATTGATCATTCCATGTATTCCTGATATGGTTTTGCATTTTCAATTACTTCCTTCAAAGCTTCTGGTCCCAAGCACTCGAGAACCTAAATGCAGAAGCCAATCGTTATAATAAATCAACTACATTAAGTTAGAAAAGAAAAAGAGTACAAAAAGTGATCAAACCTCATTTGCATCTTTGAAACAAGAAAAGTCATCTTTCTTTGGCCAATGCACTCGCCAACATCTGATAGCCAGAACTTATATATGTTAGAAGATAAATCTGAAATATTTAGGCATTGATTAAACATCCAGGTAGTTAAATGTGAAACCATACCATCCTCACCAGACTCCAGGTATCATCACTATATGACACAGAACTCAGAGTAAATTACCATCAATATAGCAGTTATTTATGACTTCATGTTGTGCAGGCATTTTATACCATTTTCCTCAATCCCAGATTTTTTCTATCATCCTAAAAGGAGAATAGTAGTTTACATGAGATATCAATGATAAATGGTGTAACCTTTCTTTTCCAAGCCGACGTGCTAGCTCCTCAGCCAAGGCATTGCCAGGATCGTCAACATCAGTCGCCAGGATAATGCGAGATACCTAAGATGTTTGCAGGGAAAAGGATAAAATAGAGATGCAAAGAAATGTAAAAAAAGGCAAAAAGTTCACACAGCTAACCTTCGGCAAAACCAATTCTTAGCTATATTTGCAAAGTCTTGCACTAAATTTACTTACCTTATCCAAGTACTCTTCGCAGTTCCATAGATACTGATATGCAATGTCCTAACTTGAAAAGAATGAGTTCAAAGCAGCATCAGTAAATACTCGAAAAGACTTATTGGGTTTAAAAATCAGAACCAGAAGATTGCATATGCTATTTCAATTTCAGAGAGTTGAGCCTTGAGAGTAATAATGTAACATTTTGGGTTTTATTTATATATTTATTCTTTTATTGGATGGGGGGCTACTTTGTTGAATCCGACATTACAATTTGGGCAGATTAAAAAGGGAAAAGAAATCAAAATTCATACCATGCTGGGCATACAATAGTTGGTACCCATTAGGTTAACATGTATATGGAAATTTATAAATATTCACTTATGCATGGGGTTGCTTTGTTGAAACTGACATTCCAATTTGGAGACAAAAAGGAAAAGAAATCAAAATTAATACCATGCTAGGCAATACAATAGCAGTTTGATATTGAGTACATGTATACTGAAATCTATAAATATCTGGATATCAAGTTATGCATTTGCTTAATTTTTTCTTCTCTTTCAGATCCCAAGAGGTGCAAGCCTAACTCAAAAAATGTCTTGCCATAAACAGTTTGTCCAAAGCTTCAACAATAGACCTTTTGCATAAAATGATAGACCTTTTTCATATAACATTGACAAGAAAAGAAGACAATGCATTTGCACAGCAAAGGTAAATTGAGTCAATTAGAATGATACAAATATTAAAGGTCAAGATATTCCAGTCTCAATCCCTACCTTTTCCAATGTTGGCAATTCTTTGGCAGAAACCGTCTGGGGTGCACCACAAGGAACACTTACACAATTATAGACACCAGCTTCTTCCACCGCAAGCTTATCTATTTCACCTTCAACCTATCATAAACATAAAGGTACTAAGAACATACAACTCCCTCCACTTAAAGCTTACCTGTTCCACCTTCAGCCTATTGAAAACATTAATATATAACAGTAATAAAACAGACACTTGAGAGAGTGAGTATCTGCGCTAAATTATTAAAGGATTATCTTAAAACAGCCAGATATGAAGGGAGTAATTACAATAACGACTGTAGCAGCTTCCTTGATGTCATCAAGTCCATATAACCAATTTTTTGTACCCTTCTCCTGTAAATGAATAAGGAAATTAATACATATCCAAATTGGAAAAATAGACCTTATTGCACATGATAAGTATTTCCATTTAAACATAAAAAACAAAATAAAGAAAAGGTCCAGTTAGGTCATCTCTAGTTCACGAAATAGAATATGGTGAAATGAAGTACCTATTTCACAACACTAGAATATGGTAGGAAGAGGAATCTAACAAGAATTTTATGGTTTGGTCTGTAGAAATTAAATGGAGTAGGAATATTGTTAAGATATTTGGTTGGAACAATTTCTGAGGATATAACTGAACTTTTTAACAACATGCAAGGGGAAATTTCCCAATATAAATGTTTCCATTGTCAATGAGGCAGGAATAGTAATCCCTATCAGAAGGGGGAAGGCATAGCTATTCTGCGTTTGACCCAAATAGACATTTGACACAGAATAGCTATCCAGCACCCAAACTTGAACCAATGATGGGAATAGCTATTAATAGATCCAAAATAGAATAGCTATTCCTTTGAAACAAAAATGTTATAAATACACAAATGAAGAGCTGGAATTGCTCAAAGTTTACACAATTTCAATTGTCAGATCACCATATTGGTTTCTAAATCAATCCATGCACAGCATTTTATTTATAAAACCGTATGGTAGGGACCAAGGATGAATTAAAATAGCAAGATGCTTTAATTCCCTACTTTTCTTGGCGTATGGGGCAGGGGAAAGGGTTTAATTCAGTTGTTCTTCCCCATACCAAACTGAACCACAAGCCTGGCAATGGGTACAAACACATCCAAGATGTGATTCTGCCTCAGGACAGCTCATTAAATCACTAAAAACCACAAGAAATGTTGGCATACATGATCTTCCATGCAACTGAGTAATCTAATAGCACTAGGTTAATCTTTTATATCCTTGATCATTCTATCATTATGACTTCTTAAACTTTGTCCTCAATGGAATCCAGCACACCCTACTTGCAACACAGAGTTAATGGATTATTCATAGGGCAAACTAAGGTCTCCCCATGCGACTGTGATTTCAGAGGATATGACCTATACAGACCTTTTAGGTTGAATCTGGTTGTTTAGGGGTAACATTTCGGATTATTCATTATATATAGGCTTTGATTATAGAACAACAACTGGAAAACATTCAACTGTTTGTTGCATTCTAGGAATGTTAGCTGATAGCATTATTCCATTTTCTTCCATCCTCCAACAACATCATCATTTCATTTAAAACTCCAGGGTAAGGATAACACATACCTGCCAAAACTTTTTCTCCAAGGTTCGGTACTTGCACCCAACAATCACCCCATTCCTTCTGTAAGTGAAAGCAATGACAGCCTGTTCAAATTATTAGTAATAATTAGAAAAAAGAAAGTAAATGTTCTCAGTGACAAGGTGGTCCACATGGACTATTAAGATGGCCAAAAACTGTATTTGACAGAGAAACTGTATCTGATAAGGAAAATATTTCGATCAATATACCAGTGAAATATTTCATGACATCCAGATAGAAAATATAGGACAAATAATTGTCCTCAACATATCAAAAGATGACTCTGTCCTCTTTTGATGACAGAAATTGAAAATATGTTGCAAGGTTTTGCTCTGCTCTGAGGCTCTATTAAGGTCAAAGGGGACTGTTTTATTGTTCCAGAAAAGGAAATGATGAATGTCATGCTACCAATGAGAACAATCAAGAATCCAAATAATAGATCTAAATCAGATTAGCTTCTGCCACATACTATGGATGCCTTGGCTACCTCACCTTAGCAACAAGATTCTTTTTGGTTTTCATTTGAACAGAGAAAATAAATATTTAATGAAACGACTCATCCCAAACATCCAACTATAGCTACAATGAAACTTAATTGACAATCAACAATACCAATCTTAATAATCACAGATAAGACCTACAAATTGGCAATAGTTGCTTTAATGCATACAATTTGAGTGTCAATTCCAATCACTCTTTCGGTCCAGAAGTGCATAACTTTGAGTCAATTAAATAAGTTTCAAATTCTGAAAAAGGTTTTGACTTTGCATTGATTCATTATAAGGTAAGTAATAAAATATAAAATGCTGCAATTGATAGTTCAGGGGACCTGATCGCCAGATCTTTGCATGACAGCATTTCTCTGCAGAGTTGCCTTAGATATCCTTCGCTCAGCAAAATAAGCAATCAACTGAAAAAAGTAGAACAGTCATCATCAATTATCAATTCCAGTAACATGTCAGAAATTATCATTAGGAAAAAATAGGGGAGAGATATTATGTCAAGAATATCAAGACAACCCTTTAGCATAAGCTTTCATGGGCCTTATGCTTTCAAGGATATACACAAGTCCGACTATCAAAACATTAAGCTCATATTTAGTTTAAGAAATTGTCTTACATGTCTACCTTATCATTAATTAAATATAGATAACATCAACCAATTGTATCTAACTCAAGCAAGTGGTCCTTTGCTGGGCCAACAACCTGTAGGTGATATTCCAATTTTATTCTTTCAGCAGATATGGTACTACTGCTACCTGGACTACGAACTTGTGCAAGTAAGAGAGTGAAGTGAAAAAAAGTGGGGTTTTGCTAGATACAATCAAGAAAATAGAAACAAAAAGAAAGAAGAGTTGGGGCTGGGGATTTACTAAGATAATCAACAGGTGAAATTCAACTTAAGGTAATGTTGCCTTTAGAATTTCCAACGTAGTAGTAAACATAGTACATATCTTCTTAGAAATTTAAGGACAAAAAGATGTGTACTGGTTGATGTTTTGGAACTCAAGGATAAAAATTTGAAGTATTGGCTCAGAACATTTACTTTCTCAATTTTGTTACCAGGCAAGCGTCATACTCTCCAAGCTAACTTTCAAGTTCCAACCACTAGGGATGCCTATGTAGGATCTCCACCCAAACCAAACCCGCCAACCCCACTGTTCCTACTTGATGGAAAAGTTCGCTGCTTCTCATAAATATTTATTAGAAGGAAAAAAAAAAAC